CTTCAAGAGGTTTCCGGCCTTATGAGCGGGTTTTGTTTTGGGTTAAAGTCTGAGGGAAAAGTTGCGTTCACACAGGATAGGAAAATACATCGAGGTGGCTAGACTCTTAGTCTGTGTTAGTGGTGACGTCATTGATCCCTAACTGGTCTTGAAGAATATAATGAACCTTTAAAAAAAAATTGTCGCCTATAATAGGGGGATTTAGAATGGTATTCCTCTCTTTTTCTTTCATAAATCTCTCTCTCTCTCTCTCTCTCTCTCTCTCTCTCTCTCTCTCTCTCTCTCTCTCTCTCTCTCTCTCTCTCTCTCTCTCTCTCTCTCTCTCTCTCTCTCTGTTATCTTACCCATTACCTGTTTTCTTTTAAAATACAGCATAGATACTTAAAAGTTTTAATATTAAAACAAATACCTTAACAAGGGCCTTATCCTACGAAGCTGTGAAAACCTCTCTAGCTATTTAACGCTTGCAGAGCAACTGCCAGACAAGTTAATCAATATTAAACAATCTAACTCTCCCCTCTATGTATCCCCACCTAAGCCACTTTAAATGTATTCAAATGTATTCAATCCTAGGCGAATCAAGTTTAATCTATCTTAGACTATGGCAAACCTAGCCAAATGTAGCCAAAGTTAAGCAACCCAGACGTATAGTCTCTTCTAACCAAAGAAAACCAAGTGAAAGCTATACCACCTTATAAAAACCAATTTAAATCTGTCTGTACCTTGGCACAACTAATCTCCCCCCAATATTATATATATATATATATATATATATATATATATATATATATATATATATATATATATATATATATATATATATATATATATATATATATATATATATATATATATATATATATATATATATATATATATATATATATATATACACACACAACGGAAAAGTGAAAGGACTCCATATGCCGGAGCCTCAATGCTACAGTAAACAGTGAACTCAGCCGGTTCTCCACACACAAAATGAAAATAAAGGTTCACAGAATTACTGTTGTGATAACCATTCAATTTTCTTCACCACCCAATAATATCTGAGTGAGAGTAATCGGCGGAATCCGACTACTCTGTGGGTTGTGCCTCCGTTGTTGGCGTGTCTTAGGAAACGCCACAAGGAGACAACAGAAGGACTTGCTGCCCAGGAAGTACAGGAGAAATTCTTTCAAAGATTCAGAGGGGAAACACTGGGTAACAACCTCACTCTCAGTAATGAGAGAGAACACACAAAGATTACTGAGAGAGCTGGGCGCAGCAAAAGCCTTTGGACCAGACATTATACTGTCTTCAGTACTGGCAAAATGGGGCTGAGGCCAAGAACAATTCTATTGTAAAAAATATCAAATGCAATACTTCCGATGGGAGAGACCTTCCGGACAGCTTGAAGACGGCACTGTAATACCAGTTTTCAAGATAGGTGACAGGAAGGACATCATTCATGTTTTCAACGCAATGCTTCACTGGCAGAATTTTCACCTGCTAATATGCACAAGAAATGTTTAAATCATGGAAATACTGTTTCACACACTCACTCACACACAGATCACACAAATTTACAATAAATTAGAAAAAATTAGAAATTTACAGTAAAAGTCATAATAGAAGCATAACAAGTTATCACAATAACTACGTATTGTGTAATCTATGTATTTTTGAAATTTACACAACAAGGTTTGTTATAATTGCTTGCTTTGATATCACACTTTATTTTGAACGGTATAATATGTAACATAAAATTAAAAGAACAACAATTATTTGATAGACAAAACTGTATGAAATACTTCCATTAAAGTCAGCTCCGGGAATAATTTTAAATGATGACATTCACTGGTTATAATAAGCCTTCAGCTAAGAACATTGATAACGAAGATGCACAGAACAACTCCAGTTTGGTTGGGGAGCTTCAAGCTGATATGAAAATTAGGTTTAGACTATGAAGTGTCGGTTTAGTACACTGGGTCGAGTGCTGTACACACCCCTGTGTCGGGTTGGTACACTTGACCCTGTGCTTGCATCAACCATATCCAAGGACCAAAATATCAAATATCTCTCTTCTCAGTTTAAGGATAGAGAAAAACAACCACAAATTCTAAGGAGACACAGATTTACGTGTGATGTCCAGTAAACTCATTGTATGACCCTCATACCAAAGAATAAGGCTACAGTATGGAGTGTGTACACCTTGTGTTGAATGTGTTTTGTTTTCTGATAACATTAATGTGATTTGTAAATATGTCGTTGACTCATATCTTCCAGTTTCTGAAAAGTATTGGGTGGATTCGGTTCGTTTTTCTTTCCAGTTTGAAAGTATATGTACTTCATGAGTACTTCAAATCTGGGGCTGTGTGGCAGCACTCTGGAAAAAGGTATTTGTGAAAGAAATGAATGTCTCCTCTGTGGGTCCATTTATCTCTAGGGTCATTCAGCTTTCATTACGTGTAAATATTTACATATTTCTTGAGAATTGAGACTCATTTAATATCAGAATATACAGTCATCCTCCCCCCCACCCTACTTCCCTCTATTTCCATATGTTCGCTGGTACTGAAAGATCTGTATCGTATGTTAGCATTACTGGCCTATATAAGTGTAGGTCAATACATCTTAAAGTGTTCTATCATAAAAAGATCAGACTGATTTATTTAAATAATTATTACATGTTTAATATTCTCGTAGATATGTGAATTATCTTTTGATATGTAGACAAGTACATACAGGTGTGAATACCTGTAGCGCAGTCGGCCTACAACTCGGGCCGGGCAAGATAGTAGGGGGCACGTTTTCCAATACCTATTGCCTCTGTTCACCTAGCAGAGGTACCTGGCAGTTGGTCGACTGTGGTGGGTCGCAGCCCCAGAGAACTAGACCAGTGGTTGACCAAGCGGCCTGGCAAACCATAACACAGACCTGGGCTACCAATCCATCAAACATTTACGCTTACACCTACGAAACCTGTACATCTCTCTCTCTCCATATCCATGACACCATTGTTTACATATATTGAAACAGTGTACGAACCTTCGAAGTTGCACAAACATCAAGAAATGTATTGTTATAAACAACCACTTAGCGCTTCGGAGCTCATACACTGTTTAATAAATATAAACAAATCCACGACGGTTAAAACAAAAACAAAACAAAGATGTACAGGTTTCGCAAGGGTTTGCGAAAATGCTTGTTGATGCATCCTGACACCAACTGATCTGCCTTTTCAGAATACCCTATGACACCGCTTGGCTATTCCCCCCCCCCCCCACCCCCTCTACCCATGTCAGGACAAACGTCATACTGCCAAAAAACAGGGCAAGTGAGACACCCCTGAGGGGCCAGGTGCCTCGCCCCCCCCCACACTCTAGCTCCTGGGCCCCAGACACACAAAGAACTACTTTATTAGGTCACTACTAAGGGGAAGAGACAAATTTGGACTCGACCATTAGTTTCTTATGCATATTATGCATATGCCCAACGTGTCAACGTATATGTAATATGGATATGAATATATATATGCATATATATATATATATATATATATATATATATATATATATATATATATGTATATATATGAATATATATATATATATATATATATATATATATATATATATATATATATATATATATATATATATATATATATATATATATATATATATATATAGGCAAAGGTTTTATCCAGTTGTCAGCGAGGGTATTATCGCGTATCTTCAAGTAACACTGATAGGTGTTATCACATGTAAACAGAGTAGTAGCTAAACCTTACTTCTGCCTTCCAAAATCACACCAGAGGAGGAGTGTAGGGATGTCGTGCTCCCAAGATCACAAACGCAACACTTGCATCACAAAAAAAACAACATTAAGATAACAAACACAATACTAAGATCACAAATACAACACTAGGATCACAAACATAACACAGAGATCAAAACTCTAACACTAAGATCACACAAAAATAATACAAAGGTCAGAAATACCACCCGTATAATACATTTTCTGAAATAGTTACCATTGATTAGAGGTGAAAATAACTCAGCATACGAAACTCTTCCATACGTTGTAAACATTATGTCATACACAGTAAACATTCTGTAATACACAGTACACATTACATAATATACATAAACATTACGTAATATACATAAACATTACGTCATATACATAAACATTATGTAATACAAACTAAACATTGCAGAAAAACATTCCCTAATACACAGTATAAACATTACATAACCGTAAGCGTATGTAATACATCATAAACAATGCGTAATATACAACGAAAGCCTTAATTAGTAAAGCTTTCCCTTTCCCTCCACACACAATAATTCACCGGGTCCGGGTTCGATTCCCCCAAGGCAGGAAGTACGACGGAAACCGCACGTGTCACGTTTTTTTCCTTTCACCTGATGACTCTCTTCACCTAACAATCAAAAGGTCTGATCAAAAGGTCTGCCTAATCCTGTCAGTCTGTGTATTCTCGACACTGGGGAACTATCGTGTATACATATGTATATATTGTATGCATGCAGGATAAAGCACTAAGACATTACAACACGATATATATATATATCATTTGGAAGGGATAGAGGATTTAGGACGCGTGATCATTGATGTAATTTTGTTGGTATTGTATTATACATGAATGATAAAAGATCTTGTTGTATTTTTTTGTGTGTGGATATCAAAATTGAATGCTTTCTCCACTTCACATCTGTGATGCAACAGCAACATGGAAGATAGCAAGAATTAAAGAACTCGATGAACGGTGTAATATTTCTAGGAGAGAGCACATGATTGGTGATGCATTTACACACACACACACACACAAACACACACACACACACACACACACTCCTGGCAGAATGAATTTGAATGAACACAAGTTCATTTCTGGCAGTATATACTCAAAACATTATATTATATATATATATATATATATATATATATATATATATATATATATATATATATATATATATATATATATATATATATATATAGTAGGTATGTATGTGCAAGTCGGCCACATTTGAAAGGTAAAATGACTGGTTTGGACACTGGAGTGAAATCCCATACCACAATATACAGGCGGGGACCAGGAGCCGGCATCCCTTCACTGCCCTGTACGGTGTGCTCTTCAATGTGCCTATTGCTATCAATGTGCAGGTGGGTGGGTGTATTCCCAGGTGGAGGAGCTCTTCACCGTGCAGGTGGGTGGGTGTATATCCCCCAGGTGGAGGAGCTCTTCACCGTGCAGGTGGGTGGGTGTATCCCCCAGGTGGAGGAGCTCTTCACCGTGCAGGTGGGTGGGTGTATCCCCCAGGTGGAGGAGCTCTTCACCGTGCAGGTGGGTGGGTGTATCCCCCAGGTGGAGGAGCTCTTCACCGTGCAGGTGGGTGGGTGTATTCCCTAGGTGGAGGAGCTCTTCACCGTGCAGGTGGGTGGGTGTATCCCCCAGGTGGAGGAGCTCTTCACCGTGCAGGTGGGTGGGTGTATCCCCCAGGTGGAGGAGCTCTTCACCGTGCAGGTGGGTGGGTGTATCCCCCAGGTGGAGGAGCTCTTCACCGTGCAGGTGGGTGGGTGTATCCCCCAGGTGGAGGAGCTCTTCACCGTGCAGGTGGGTGGGTGTATCCCCCAGGTGGAGGAGCTCTTCACCGTGCAGGTGGGTGGGTGTATCCCCCAGGCGATGTTCTACACTACCCTCCCGTTGCAAGTATAACAGTGTTCTCTAGCGTAAGTGTATTTCCAAGCTTCAGGCTGTTATGACTTTAGTGTCAGTATTATGGAACACTTCCTCAGCAACAATCTGTTATGCATATTACCCAGGAATGTTCTCCTGCTAATTTGTTGTATCGTAATTAGTTTTTCCGTGATAAATTGTGTAGGAAAAGTATCTTTTTATGTTCTGCACCTGCTCCTCTTTCAGAAGGCATTCGTTTGATAGTTTACTAGTAAGCCCCTAGTTGTGAAAGTATATTACGCTAGATTACTTCAGGAAGAAGTATTCTTCTATTTCAAGAAGTGCCGTACAGCAGCCGGCACACGAGTATATTACGTACCCTCTGTGGTATATTTGCAGGTATATTATGTCAGCTTGAACGTGTTAGACACAAATAATCAAGTAGAGTATAGACTACCACTGGGACTGAAAGCTGCACAACACACATTATTGATGAATGCGAGATGTAGATGATATTTTGTTATCTGTTCACACTAATTCATCCAACGGCCAAGAGGCAATGCATTAGTGTGTGTGCTTACCAATACTCTTAACGTGTCTTAAGGGAGACTGGGTGTCACTGACTTCTTTGAGTGTCACTGACTTCTTTGAGTGTCACTGACTTCTTTGAGTGTCACTGACTTCTTTGAGTGTCACTGACTTCTTTGAGTGTCACTGACTTCTTTGAGTGTCACTGACTTCTTTGAGTGTCACTGACTTCTTTGAGTGTCACTGACTTCTTTGAGTGTCACTGACTTCTTTGAGTGTCACTGACTTCTTTGAGTGTCACTGACTTCTTTGAGTGTCACTGACTACTTTGACTTCACTGTTACAGGTAACAACATGTGAATGATTGTACGGCTGTTGTAAAACCTTTGCAACATGGTGATGCAATTTTAATCTTCTGGTGATGATCTGACAAATGGTGCACGAAGCTTTTGGGGAAAAAAACTAAGCCAAAAGGATAATCAAAATGCTGCAAACAAAAATAAACAAAAAGAATAAGTCAGCAAATCACCTGAGAAGAGGAAAAATCGAGTCGTTGATAACTAAGGAATTTGTGTATATATTTATGTTAAAATAATCTTGGAGATGCTATTCTTTCACAGTGTTTTATATTGTAAGTAAATTATTTTACTAAATCCCTGTAAATCTATTCGGAGAAACTGAAATAAATGTTATGTACGCAATCATTAGTATAAGTTCCATTATTCCTGTTAATGAATTCAAGAATGTCTGCTTGACATACACTGTCGATTTATACAACAAAAAAATGCTTATCACTAAATTCTTACTAACTCGTAAAATTACCTCAGTCTCTGAAAATTATTCTGTATATAAAATGTATTTATTTTTCTGTGAGTTAAAGCTATCATTATCAAAAAAAGAACTTTGTCTCATTTAAAAACATTCATTTGCACAAATTGTCATTTATGTTTGACAATAATCATACTACAGGAGACTACTCAGAACAACAGAAGAGATTTTATAGTGTTTGACCTCAGATCTGATATTGTTCATCTCTTTAAATGTGCGAGGGAGGTGTAATGATCTGTACGTACATAATACCTCACGTGTGGGCGTCTCTTGCTGCTGGGTTTGGTCCGTTAGGAAAGTCACGTCCTCTACTGAACTAGATCTACTGAACGAGATCACATCAACCGTTCACTCACGACGATATCGCTCTTCTGACTTCCATTTCTTATAGACCAGAATCTATTTCACATCGCCAAAATGAGGCCCAAGCTGAGAAACTTATAGAATCCTCAACTGAACAAATCCACAAGGGCCGTGACGAGGATTCGAACCTGCGTCCGAGAGCATCCCAGCCGCTGCCTTAATCGACTGAGCTACGACATCCTCAACTCATTGTTAAATACAGCCCATCCTCTTATTTTGGTAGTACTTACAGTAACGATGAGGACCATAGTATATATATATATATATATATATATATATATAATATATATATATATATATATATATATATATATATATATATATATATATATATATATATACCGACGTACAACGAAATTCTTAAGTAGAAATCTTAAGTCTTGAGTTGGACTAACCGGAAAACTATTTTTTACTTGTGTTGCTCTGACACACTAAACTAACCTAACCTAACCTTCCTATGCCTAATACACGATATCTGAAGCCCTAATATAGTACACATGTGTACTATACTAAGCCTAGGAACATTGAAGTTTGTGTTTTAGCTCCACTTATTTGAAAAGAATTCCTTACTAGTCAGTATACTACTATCTTAAAGATAAGTACGTACGAATTCGTGACTATTGACGACCGTCACAATAGGTACTGTCTAAACAAGAGGAGGAGGATGGGTTGGACAGTTGACAGTAGACCTTTAATGAGGCTGTTACACAGGAAATGAGACAGTTGTGTGGTACTGGTTATCTTGAGATAATTTCGGGGCTTTTTAGTGTCCCCGCGGCCCGGTCCTCGACCAGGCCTCCACCCCCAGGAAGCAGCCCGTGACAGCTGACTAACTCCCAGGTACCTATTTACTGCTAGGTAACAGGGGCATTCAGGGTGAAAGAAACTGGTCTCGCCCAATAGTTCCGGGAGCTGTGGGTCGTAAATATCCTGTTGAGGCCCAAAGCACACATCACTAAATGGAGAAACGACAACGTTTGGTCTTGAACCATTATCAAGACCATGATAATGGCCTTGGACCATCTTGAGATGATTTCGGGGCTTTTGTGTCCCCGCGGCCCGGTCCTCGACCAGGCCTCCACCCCCCAGGAAGCAGCCCGTGACAGCTGACTAACACCCTGGTACCTATTTTACTGCTAGGTAACAGGGGCATAGGATGAAAGAAACTCTGCCCATTGTTTCTCGCCGGCGCCCGGGATCGAACCCGGGACCACAGGATCACAAGTCCAGTGTGCTGTCCGCTCGGCCGACCGGCTCCTATCAAGTCCTGCAATAGAAAGAGAGTGGAAGAGATAGACAATATAAAGGAAGAAAGTGAGAGGAAAAGATTGGAAGGATGAAACAGGAAGATAATAATAGAGAAAAGGTAAGAAAAGATGAAATGTAAAGAAGAGGAAAACAAATAAAAACAAATATAATCAGGTTACATAAAGGAAATGTTAGAAGCTAGAGGAACATCAACATCCTGTTGATCCCAGTACTCTTATCTTCCATAAATACGCACATTCATAATGTTGACCAATCCACACACTATAAAATAAACGGACGACGACGTTTCGGTCCATCCTGGACCATTCTCAAGTCAATTGTGAGAGTCTATTCTCACAATCGACTTGAGAATGGTCCAGGACCAGACCGAAACGTCGTCGTCCCTTCGTTTTCTAGTGTGTGAATTGGTCAACATACTTCAGCCACGTTATTGTGACTCATCGCCTGCACATTCCTAATCACGTTCAAGTTCAAGAATGTTTATTGAGATAAGAAAGAAATACATCTCAAAGGGATAGAGTAGCTTAGGCTATTTCTATCCCCCAGACATTCCTAATGTCTGACGTGAGAGCGGAGGGACAACGCACGCATGGGGGGGCCAGAGCGAGCGCTGACACGCAGTTTTCTTCGATGAAGAAGACCAACAAGGCTGTTCAACCACCGCAGTTACTCCACTGCCACATCACCAGCCACAGTACTGCCTCAACCACATTTACCTCTGCCTTGTATTAGCCGTGTGGTGGTGTTGTCAGGTGTATTAGCAGGGACCAGCATGAGGCGCTTACTACGGACGGTGCTGAACAGCTTACTGCTGGCGGTGCTTCTCCCAAGGACCTGCTCCTGCCTCGACACGCCCCTAGGACATGAGCGCCCAGACACCCTTCAACTCCAGAGTACGTTAGCTCATTTATTATGCACCTCCTCCCTCCCCCACCCATAACACATGCCACGGGTGGTGGTCAAAAGAATGACACTGTTGTGACACTCTTGACACTCTTTTGACCACCGCTTGACACTCTTTTCTGTGGACAATGTCGTTGTTGTAAGGATAACAGTGACGCCACCACGAGAGGGCTCACTGTGTAACACGAGGGAAATGTCACCCTTGTAACATTTGCCACATCCCACCGCTGCCACCATTGTAACAATCCGAGATGTCACCATTGTAACGATTCTGAAACCATTGTAACGTTTATGACAATCAAGTACTGCTGATATTGTACAACTATGGTAACGCCCACTGTAATGATTGCTATAACTTGTATATAACGCTTTAGACTGTAATAATTGCATTGATATAACCCCAAACAACTGGAAGAGTCCTCCCTTACTATTCTGGCTTTCGTAGGTCCTATTATAAACACCATTCTAGCTATCGTAGATTCATATATATATATATATATATATATATATATATATATATATATATATATATATATATATATATATATATATGCGAACAAGCCTGAATGATCCCCAGGCATATATGCAACTGAAAACTCACACCCCAGAAGTGACTCGAACCCATACTGCCAGGAGCATTTTGCAACTGGTGTACAGGACACCTCAACCACTCGACCATCACGACTGTACAAAAGATGATGGTAGCCGAGGCTAATTTCCCATCATCCCGCCGGCACTCTGATGGTAATCTTGGGCATATATTTTATCAAATCACCTCATTCTTTGGGGTACACGTGAGGAACACAAATGCGAGTTTTCAGTTGCAAATATGCCTGAGGACCATTCAAACTTGTTTGCATTTGTGTTCCTCACGTGTGCCCCAAAGAATGAGGCGATTTGATAAAATACTATGCCCAATATTACCATCAGAGTGCCGACGGGACGATGGGGAATTAGCCTCAGCTACTACTTTATTTTCTTCTTCGAGGATGTGGGTCCCTTCAATTGCACCAGTGGTGGTACCCCAAATAAATTACTTTACCTATCTTGTAATTTTATTAGCATGCTTGATGTATCATAAACTGTATGAATAAATTACTTATATAAGAAAAAAGTGAAACGTACATTTTTGTTATATATAAAATGGCTTCCCCAAAGTATAAGTTTTCTTCACTCACTTTGGCGCTCTGTAGAAAACGAATTTATCTAAGGATAACTGTCTTAGTAGCCTCGGTGAGGGCCAGTTACTTTCTGACATGTTCCTTTAGTGTTCCAGAGGATGTTTTTCAGTTGAACTTAAAACTAAAGCATTGACTTTAGTTATCTAGGTAACTTTTATCTTTTAAAATTACCTAAGATAATTTAGTTATCATAGGTAAACTAAAGTTATATGTCTTGAAATAAACGCAGCTAATTGGGCAAGTAGGATCGAACACCTGCGCAGGAATTAAAATTATGATGTCATACCCAATATGTTAAATTTATAAAACACAGGATTATATCTTGATATTTTTGGAAGGTTAGTTTGGGTTATGTGTTGGGTTGGGTTCGATTAGGGTTGGGTTGGGTTCATATATAAGGTCTACCAATCAAGCTGTCAATGTAATCAATCAGAGCTTTAATATAACAATGTGCTTTAATATACTTACTAAGCTCTCTCATCTCATTTTTCTCTTGCAATGTATTTGTTATCATTTATCAATTCTGATAGAAATTACCTATTTAAAATTATCTGTTAGATTAAGGACCTGCCCGAAACGCTGTGCGTACTAGTGGCTTTACAAGATTGTAAATACTGTACTATTCAATGTATTCTCACAAACCAATGTACCTTCTTGTATATATATAAATAAATAAATAAATAATTAATAAATAAATAAATAAATTAGGTTGGGTTGGTGTTACGGCCCTCTCGGGTCGCAACTGGGTTCTTACTCTGATGTTGTTAGAGGAAGGGTATCCGGCCCCAAGCCAGTAGTGGCTTTCAAGGGATGTGATCAGTAACGCAAGTAAACTAAAAGGGGAAGGGAAAGAAAGGCAAAAACTTAATATTATAATTAGCACCTTCACCAATAAATATATATAAGAAGATTACTCGGGGGAGGGTATAAACACTACACAGGGGTATTATCTACACTGTCGTCTTCTTCCGAAGACTCTGGATCTTCTCGGTGTCAAGTTCTCGGTGCTCTCGTGGCCTCACGACGAATCCTTCGAAAAGCTGAGTCTACCCCGGCCACAGGCCAGCCAAAACACAGTTCCACTGGGGGCACCGCCGTGGAGGCCGTCAACCACAAGTCCAGCAGACAGCTGGCAGGTTCCGGATCAGCAACGCTGG